CTTACTTTGAGTGTTGCTTCCATGCTCCAGTTTAGATCCCTCAGCCTGCTAGCACAGATTCTTCTTCCCTGGCACAGACCTTCCAGCTTCCATCACTGACCTTTAGGGCTTCCCAGCGCAGATTTTTGACACAGGCCTACATGAGATGTTGTCGTGGGCTCTTGACCTCCACTTGGACCCATGGGGGACATTGTGATGGGCTCTAGGTCTTCAGCTGGACTCATGCAGGACATCCTGTGGGATCCAGGCCCTCCGCTAGATTCTTTGGTCATTAGTGTGTGGACAGATTTCCTGCACTCTTTGTGCATGATTTTATGGGTGGCTAATACAAAATAATCTTATAAAATATGTGTCCTGTACTGTATTGCTCCCCTTGCAAACACCCCAACTACAACACAAGCCTTTTCTGCCATGCCCTTCTGCTATGCTGCCCTCGTGGGTTGCCAGCTGACTATGGATAGAAATCTCTACAAACTGTGAGCCATAATAACCTTTCTTCCTTTAAATTAAGTAACTAAGTAGTTACTTAAGATTTTGGTAACTAAGATTTTGGTACTGAGAGTGGGGTTGTTTCTGTGACTGTGCCTGACCATGGTTCAGAAGGCTTTGGATCTCGTTCTTAGGAGGGGTTTGAGAAGCTTGGAGATGCTGTCTGAGAGGCAACTCTGGAATGCTGTGAGCCAAGTTTGATGGGAGATTCTTGTCAGAGCTCAGAAAACCAGACTGTTGACAGTAATGCAGCAGGAAAGAGCAGGCTCAGGAGGCTTCAGTTGGGAGGAAGGGCTCCATTGATGGTGGGACTTCAGGCCATGTGTGTTGTGCTCTGGCAGAAAATTTACTTGCATTTTGCTCATTTCCTGAGCCTTTTCTGGAGATTGAGTGCAAGGGTGGTGGACTAATTAATCTGGTAGAAGAAATTTCAAGGCAGCCTAGTAGTGAGGCTGTGGCACAGGTGTTGTTGGGGGGCTTTTAGTCAGATCTATGTTGACAGGGGCAAACGGCACAGCTGAATGATTTTAAAAGTTTGAGTTTGGGCCTGAAAGGCAACTCCAGGAAAGATGGGGCCTGTAAGGTGGAGTAGGGGAGAGTTTGGTTGCTAAAAATTAGCGTTAAAAAGAAACCAGTTCTTTGGATCTGGACGATACAAAGCATTCCTTAAGAACATGGGAGGAGTCCACAGTGAATGATCTTGCTTTGAGAAGAAAGCCTCAGAATGGCGGCTGCCTAGAAAATGGGAATTGATTCCCCAGGATTCAGTTCACTATGCTTAGCCATCCAGGCACTCACAGGCCTCTGCAACTCCCAGAAAGATGCAAAAGAGCTCAGTTACTGCTTAAGCTGGTGGCAGGCCTTGGCATCATCCACATGGCGCTGGTTTTACATACATGCAGTATGCAGGAGTTGTGGGGCCAGGGAGGCTTCCACGCCAGATTGCAGAAGAAGGCCTGGGAGGGCAGTGTGTGAAGCTGAAAGTACAATAGAGACACCAGAAAGCTGGAGAAGCTAGGAATGTGGAACACCTGAGAAGAGCTGCAATTAATGAGCAAATCTGGCCTCAGAGCAAAACCATGTGGCTTACAGCTAGCAGCAGTGCTACAGAGGTGGAACTGATGTTGTGGTTTAGAGTTCATATCTTGCCACAGACTGTCCTGGATGTTGGACATGGCTCTACAGGATTTAATGTTTGCCTTCCTGGATTCAGTCTTGCTTTGATCTCATTCTTTTCTATCCCCCCAACTTCTCCCTTTTGGAATGGAGATGTTTATCTTGTGCTGTTGAATGTTGGAAGTGTTTAGCTTTCTTTTCATTTTTACAGTGGTTTGCAGCTAACAGTTTGCCTTAAATCTCAGAGGAGACTGTGTGTTATTGAGCAGTTCCTTTAGAAACGGTTCCCCAATTAAACATATTCCAGATCCTCCTCACCTTGAACAAAGAACTGTATGAGACAAGCCAAAAACAATGCCAAAAGTTTATTTGAAAAGTGAGGGGTAAAGAGGCAAGAGAAAAAACTGGCTCTGGAGAGCAAACTTGGACCGAAGAAGAACAAGAAGGATAAAAAGGGCAAAGATAAAAGTATACCCTCTGTCTGGGAGACACAAAGTGAGCTATAGTGAAGAGTCATGAGAGCAGGCTCCTCATTGCATCTGTCTCCTGTGTCATCCATACCTCCTGGGAGCCTGTGAGAAGGTCCTGGGAATTACTGGTGCTGTCCTGAGATTTTGTAATTGACAGGTCCCGTTTATTTCCACAGCCAGTTTTGCCACACTCTACTCCTATATCATTTGGACTTGGACTTTTCAGCAATGGTGAAGCTGTTAGGGCTTTGGAAACTCTTAAGAGATGGACTAAATATATTCTGTATAGGAATGCGTATGAGTCTTTTGGAGACCAGGGACAGAATGTTATGGTTTGTATGTAGATGTCCCCCCAGGCCGTATGTATTCACTGGGGGGACTTTGGGGAGGTGATTGGATTGTGGGTGGGTGACATTCAACAGTGGATTGATACACTGATGGGCTTATTGCTAAATGTATTTTCTTTTTTATTTCATGGAAAAAAAAGGGTATTGCTAAATGTGACACTGGGAGTTGAAGCCTGGTTGAAGAAGGTGGGTTACTGGGGGCATGGCCTGGAAGGGCGCACTTTGCTTCTTCCTCTCTTGATCTCTCCGTGCTTCCTGCTGTCATGTCATGAAGCAAGCCTCGTCTGCCCATACCTTTTAGCTTTGTTGCCCCGTCTTGGAGCCAGTCCACTCTGGACTACAAACTGTGAGTCTACAAACTGTGAGCCATAGTAAACCTTTCCTCAGTTAAATTGTGGGTGTCGGATATTGTGTCTCAGCAATGAGAGAAGTAATTAAGACACACCGCTAGGTTCAACGCCTGACCTCTGGAATCAGATCCCTGGATTCAAATCTCTCCTCTACTTGCTTGGTATCCATAGCTAAGTTAATTAGCCTCTCTGACCTCAGTTTAAGAATCTGTAAAATGGGGTAATGATAGTACCTTCTAAGAAGAATTCAGTGAGACTGGCAGTGTTTACACAGTAAGCTTCTACATTGGAAAAGAGCTGTAACTTTATTTTTAGAAGACTTAGCCACTACATTTTAAATAGGGATTTACTTATCTAGAGGAAGCTTAGTTTTACAGCCACATTTGAACATGGGTGGTTCAGATCTGGTTCATCCATCTCAAACCTACTTTATTCTTTCTGCACTTTCCCCGAGCCATCATGTCTTTGAATATCCTAGAGAGAAATCTTTTGTTTGTTTTTGTTTTTTTGGTTTTTCTCCGGTACCAGGAACCGAACTCATGACCTTGCGCTTGCCAGGCAGGCGCTTTTGCCGCTGAGCTAAATCCCCAGCCCCCTAGAGAGAAATCTTGTCTGAGTCTGTTGGCCTCAGGTAAAGGGACTTAGTTCATCTTTTGTCTCAGTGGAATCTCTCCCTGACCAACAGTTTCCTCTTAAAGGAATTGCACTTCAGCAAGCCCCAGGCCGAGCGGACTCATGTCTGGAAGTCCACAGGGCTCCTGGGCACCAGACCCCACAGAGAGCAACTTTCTTTCTGGTTGATTAGCTCCCCGCTTTGCATATACTTTCCGCGTCTTCCTTCCCCTCCATTGGGTCTACTGTGCTGGTTAGTTTTCTGGTTAGTTTTCTTTTTCTCCCTGTCAAACAAAAAGTGCTATAAAAAAAATTTAGAATCAAAATTTAAATTGTGAAATCGGATTTAGGTTGTTGCCTTTTAACCAAAGGCAGCATCCTTCACTCATTTCAGAGGACAGCTCTGCATTTTCTTTTTCCTTTTTAGGTGCAGTAAGGCCCCACCTGTAAACATCTAGTTGCAAGCTCACAGATGGGAACGGACTTTGCCTTATCCACATTCCCGGATGTGAACAAACCGTGGATGTAGCTTGAATGTTTGCTGGACATTGTCACAGGGGTGCTGCTGGGCGGCGACTCTCCAGTGTGATAGTATACAGCATGCTCAATCTAGGCCCAGGATGTCCGGAAGCAAGAGGAAGCGCAGTGGTGATGTGGAAGGAACTGCCAGGAAGCAATATCCATTGTATACTTGTTTCACAGACTCACTTTGTTAGACTCATGAATGAATCTGACTTATGAACTTCCTGTAAGGGAATTCCTAAATTGGGGATTTACTGTAATGGCCCTTGAACCCAGATGTAGCCACCCTGAGCTACATCCTGCGGCTCTTTTAAAAAATTTGAGACAAGGTTTTGCTGAATCGCTAAACTGCTCTGGCTGGGCTCGAACTTGTGACCTTCCTGCCTCAGCCTCTCAGAGGGCTGGGCTTACAGGTGTAGACCACTACACTTGGTATACATTTCTTAAAGACTCTCATGGGGGGGGGTTGTCGCCTGGAGGTCTTCTGAAAATACCAAGGAGAGGGAGGGAGGTGGGGCATTACTTTCAGAGTTAAGGTGGGTCCGAACTCTTACTTTTAGCCTTCAGGGACTCTCAGGAGATGAAAGGGAAGCTGGCCTCAGATACTGCAGAAGCCGCCCGTCCCTCCCCGGAGAGACCAGCCTGCGGCGCTGCGCCGGAAGTGCTGGGCTCTGGGCGGGCGGCGGGGAGGGGCTGCCTGCGAGCTCCTCTCAGGGCCTGGGATATTTATAGCGCTTGTGCCTCTGGACCTGGTTGCACCTGGATTTATGCGGCCTGTGGCTGTGGCTGCGGGGAAGGAGGAGGCACATATCCTTGCAAGGGGGCTGCTGAGTCCTGGCTGGGAACTCCGACTGGAATGAGTTATAAAATCAAAACAAGGGGCTGTCTAGAGCAGGACGCGAGCAGAGCAGCTCTTCAGGAGGGGGTGAGACCCGGCGAGAAGCGGGACTTTCCAGCTCCACGTGGTGCCACCCTGGCGGCGGCCAAGGCCTGGGCTTGGCAGGTGCGGGCGGCAGGGGGCGCGAGCCCCGCCACCAGGTCTCCCGGGGCTGGCGGGAACCCAGCGAGCACGGGGTAGCGGCTACTTTTTTCAGATGCAAAACTACAGAGTCCACGTTTGCGCTCCGGGATCGCTGTCCGCACGTCAGTTTTCCCCAATCACTACCTGTCTGGCTGCCCCAGACAGCAGTGACATCATACAAAAAAGCAAACAAATAGCTGTCCTTCGGGCCTTTCAGGAGCCCAGTGGTGGAGGCTCAGAGGGCAGAGGGGGTGGAACGGAGGGCCACACCTCCGTAGGCCCTGCAGGTGTTTCCCAGCTGGGTGACAGCGTGGGAGGCCCCGGCCTCGGTGGACACCGCCGCACCCGCTGTGGAGCCCTCCTGGACTGGTGGGCAGCAATCGTGGGTGGGGAGTGAAGGGCAGTGGTGATGCCCAGAGAAACGAAGCCATCACTGACACCTATGCAGGGCTCCTCTATTCTCCTTGAATCTCCGGCACAAATGGGTTGGTTAGTCATCGTCGCCATGTCTCCATTTTACAGATGGGAAAACTGAGGCTTGAAGACCAATTTAAGGCACTTGGCCCAAGGTGACGTAGGCAGTGTGCACTTAAGCTTGAAACCGACTCGGTGGACTCTGCGGGGCGCCCGTGCGCCAAGCTGGGGGGCGGATGGAAAGGCTGCGGGGATCCCCGGGACTAAGGGGCGGAAGGCCCGGAGTCTCGAGCGTCACGGCCAGGCCGGGGCAGCTGGCGGACGCGGCTGGGGACAGCGCCCCCACCCCGGCCGAGCTGCGGTCGGCTGGCGCAGGCCACATACCGCGCGGCGCGGAGGAAATGGCTGGGATTCCTCCCTCGGCGCTGCCGGGCGGGCAGGGACCGCGCAGGGGGCCCTGGGCACCGCCGCGGGGACCTCTCCCGGGAGCTCCCGCCACTCGCCGCAGGCATTGGAGGCCCCCAGGTCCCGGGAAACCGCAAGAGGGGACCACGTGGAGGCGCGCGGGCTCAGCTCTCAGGGTCCCCCTCTCGGCCCAGCCTCCGGCTCCGGATCGTCGCTCGCTCAGGCCTGCGGGGAGCCGGGCTCCTGGGCGCGCAAGGTGCGCAAAAGGGTGCGGGGGACCCGGGCTGTGCTGGCAGCGGCGAAGCCTCACTGGCCTCGGCCTTTGGGAAGCTCCGGACACTGCTACCCTCAAGTTCCAGGCCCAGTCCTCAGGGCTGGCTGAGCAGGCCTTCCTCTGCTACAGTCTTTGGGAGCAGAGCGGGGAATTGGCTGGCGAGGGACAGCGAGAGAGAGAGGGTGGCCCCTGCGAGCCCGCTGTGCCAGGCTGTCCCGAGAGGGCCGGGTGGGGTGCAGGGCAGCAGAGCTGAGCGCGGAAGACCGGGTCCGAGTGAGCAGCAAGGGCCTGGCGAGGAGCAGAGGATGCCTTGTCAGGCTGTGCTGTGGGGAGGCTGAGAAGGGAACCGAAAGCTTCCTGGAGTCAGCAGAACTTGAGAAAGCTCCCTGCTTCCCCTGGACACAACCAAAAAGCGTAACTGGGGGTGAGGACGGCGGGGTAGAGGGAGGACCCTAAGTGGGGTCTGTGCAGCCTCTGCTAGGAAGGTGGCCCCAGTGACTGCACCCCGCTTACGATTTGCGCTGTGATGAGAGGATTCACCTTGGCCCAGTGCCCTAGCTCTCACCAGGTGGGTGCTGCACCACCTTTCCTGCCTTTGTGTCTCCTCAACCTGGAAGGCCCTCCCCACCCTCCTGGGCCGGTGAATGGGCTCCTCGCTCAGCTGCGGACTCTTACTCACTGCGGACTCTTCCTGGACCTCCATGTCCTCTATGCTCTCTGCCTGCCTCCACCGTGGGCCTCACTGCGCTTTTCACGCAGGATTATACAAGTGTGCTTATAAAGCTGTCTCCCAAGCTAGACAGCAGCTCTGCCAGGCAGGACTGGCTGAGTCATAGACTGCTTAAATGCTGGTAGAATGAATGAACTGCTGCCTGTGTATCCATGCGTAACTTGCCATGCAGAGCCTCCCCTGCCCTCTCTTACCCCCAAGAAGGGCCTGGGTTGGGTGCCATTGTCTTCCTAAGACCAGCCCGAACTTCACACCTTGATCCTACTCCCCGTTTCCCTCCTCCTTATCCCGGCTCTAGGCTTGGAGCGTGGCTTTGTTGAGATGCACCTAAATCCCCATCCCGTCCTCCCGTTCCCAATACTTCGCAACCTGGCCCACCTTGTTTCTCAGCCCAGGGCTCAGGAGTGGACGTGAGGCCGCCCAGTCATTCCGGATGGGCCTGGGCTCCAAAGAAGGAAGTACCCTGGCCCCAGGCTGGGGTAGAAATGGCCATGGTGTGTCTGTCTTCTACACCACACCCCCAGGGTGCCTTTAAACTTGAAGCAGGGCAGGGACACTGGCTCACATCACTTGCGTCCAAGTGACCAACCAGCTTAAATTTCCACCCTTTCCAAGGGGAACCGAGTAGTGGGACTTAGGCCCGGACAGAGACTCTCCTCCGACTAAGAGGAACCGGGAGCCTAGAGTCAGCCTGTCCTGCATTCGTCCGCCCCAGACGGGCGAGGTGGGTGACAGTGCGGCTGGGGCACGGCAAGGCACGTGAAGTCACTTCCAGGGCTGGCTCTAGACCCTCACCCCCGAGGCGCCACGCCAGGTGGCCTTGGCAGACCCTGCATACAGACAGCTCACACTGTAGCGTGGTTCTAGATATTCTGGATGTCAAAACGACATTCTTTCACTAGAAAAAGGAACAGATTATGGCCTTTTTGCTGTAGAAACAGGAACTGACCACGACTGTGACCACCAGTAATTGCTTCCTCACCCTGGGCTCAGGAGGAGGGTGGGATCTCTGAGCCCTGCTATCTTCTCCCCAGGGACTTGTGGGCAGGAGCTCCGGGGTTTAATGGGACAGCAGGGGAAGGAAGGCAAGGGGAAGGGAGGAACGTACAGGGGAGGGGAGAAAGGAGAGAGGTTTTCTGAAAGGTCGGTCCTGGAGCACTGAGGAGGCCGGGAGCCTGAGGGGGTGGAGCTGGGGCCGGGGCACCTGGCCCTTGACAGGTGCTCTGTGTAACTTCTGTTTTCATGCTGTCCTGGGAGAGCCTCAGCGCTGTGTACCCCGGGCTGCCCCCAGTTCCTGGAGCTGGGTCTCGTAGTACTGGGTCTCTGCAGACTAGGTCGTTGTTTCCTCCTGTGTGTGTTCGGAGCTGCTCCGTGTCAAACTGGTTCTGGATACTGGGCGAAGAAGAAACACATCTTTCCCCTGCAGAGCTTAGACTTGAGTGGAAGGAACTGGTGTTCAAATAATAAAGTTTTACAGTAATAGTAACCAAAGAAAGCTCAGGGTAACAGCTGCCGAGAGGGGACGGTGAGCCACAGCTCACCTTGGGAAAAGGTGGGGTTTAAAGTGGACCTTGGACAGCAGATGGTCACTTGGGAAAGAGGGCCTTCCAGGGAGAAGGAGTGACTGTAGCTCAGAGTAGGGGAGAAGTGGGAACAGCAGCCCAGGAGCCTGGTGGGTGGCACGTGTGGGTACAGAGGAGGGATGGGCCACAGAGCTGGAGCAGAGGCTGTTCTTGGAGGCCCCGAGTGCCCACCAAGGTCTGTAGGATTCCTCCTGGGGCCCTGAGGAGGCCTTAACCAGCAAAGGCAGGGCAAATCCCGTAGTGTGTGCTGTGGACACCTCCGAGAATGCAGCGAGGCGAAGGCAGCGGGGTGGGGCTGGGGGGCAGGGGTAGGGAGGGGCAGCTGCAGCCGGACACACCCAGGCCAGGACTCCACACACCAACCGCGTCCGGGTTTTGCACTTCCGGTTTCTCGCAAGGTGCGGCGGGTCTGAGATGGGAACTCCTGAATATGTCTCTGTTGGTCCTAGTTGTGATGCACACATGGGCTGCAGTTCTCAGGTGGGGACAATGTGAGTGGCAGGTAGAGGCCTCTTCCTTCTGGACAGACTGACGAAAGCGGGGGGAGCATACAGGTTTAGGCTCTGGAAAAGGGTGAGACTTTGGGAACCCGGCAGAGGGAGGATGGCAGAGAGGAACAGTCTTCTAAGGCGACTGGGCTGGTTGGGTGGGTTGGGCGGTCAGGGAGAAGGTGCCAGGGTTTAGAGGTCCCCTGGGCCAGGAGGACCTTTCTGTGCATGGCTCAGTCCTGCGCGGAGCAGCCCTTCTCGTGTAGGGTAGGAAGGAGCTTCCTCAGCCGTGGAGGGCGGGGTTGCATCGGCTGTCATTGTAAAATAAGCTTTAGGTCTTTTCCTGTGTTGTAAGCTCTCGGTGGGCAGAGGTGGTGTTTCCCCCAGGTCTTAGTGCTTGCTAGGCACCAAATAAGTCACCTGAAGTCAAGGGTCAGGGTCAGAGGCCTCATTATGAAGAGGGGAACCCTCAGGCTGAGCTGATTTTTTCGGTACCCCCCACCCCGTGCTATCTGAGTGTGACTGAAATGCACTTCCGGTGGGGGTCTTTGCTTCTGGCCCAGCCTCTCTGTACTGCTGTCTTCCCCTAGCTAGCTCCCACTTCTCCCAGGGGGCATGTGCTAGCATTTTATCAGTTCATTCCATACATATTTATCATCTTCAGTCTGTCAGGTCTTGTACTAGGCTAGGGACCACAATGGTAAACAATGCTTATGATGGAAGGAGGCGGACATCTCCGGCCTCTACAAGGGCCTAGTGATCTCTGAAGCGCTCCTTGGCTGGAAGAAGGTGGGACTTGTCTTGCTAGTTGTGATTTTGTGATGCCACCTGCTGGTCACATGTAAGTACAAACACTCAGGCTGGTGTGAACGAACACACCGAAATGCCAGTTATTAAAACATAAGGGGAGACATGGCCTTATACACACAGTGACCCATACACATGCTCACAACAGGCACACATATCTGAAGCACAGACACACAGACACAATCACCTGTAGAAACTCAGGATCTAGCAGAGCACCTCACCTTCGGTAGTCCAGTACATATTTTCTAGTCTGCAAAATAAAACCAGTTCTTTAGATCAGCTGTTTTCCACCATTCTTCCTAGCTAAGGAGCCAAGAATGCTCCTGCCTATACCTCTCCCCTTGTCTTATGGAGTCTTTAAGAACAAATTTAAACACCATCTTCTCCAGGAGGCTACCTCTTATCTCTGTGGCTAAGGTAATACTTCCTCTTGTGAGCTTGTGTAATTCGCTGACATTTATCATGCGCTTACTTGCATCTTAGCTACTTGGGGGCTTGTGTCTTCTACTCTGTCAGTTCCTTAAGGGTAGAACTTGTGCCTGACTTGTGCTATGTCCCCTGTAGGGTCTGCCACATTGCCCTGCACAAAGGAAGGGCTCGGTTGGTAGTTGCTGAATGAATGAATAAAGGTCATGGTCATGGATCCAGAGGAGAACGAAGGCAATCTGCAGAGAAGCATGTTTACTTATGTGCATTTCTCTATCCTTGCAAAGATGATCTGTGTTAACATAACAGCACAGAAGCACATCTCTCTGCCTACAGCTCTGAGTAGACATGTTCTTTAAATTAAACTCTTCCTTTCTTCTTTCTTCATTTCAGTTCATTTCTTCCGCTCACTGATTGCAGTGAGAGCTCTTAACTGTTCACTATTTCAGTTCTTCTCTTTTCGCTTTTGCCAATGACCCCAGCCTGCACCTTTTTGAGGATGTTGCTTACTAGTTCGAGAACTCTAGCAGTTCGTATATCTTGAATGATAAAGTCTGGAAAAAGCCACATCTTTTCTTTTTTTCACTCTTTCTTTAGAGAAAGGAGTTGTAGCCAGTAAAAAAATAGTGGAAGTGATTTGTGCAAGTGTTTATCATTGCCTGTTAAAATCTACTGTGGTTGGTGGACCAGGTTACCGACATAACTCCTTAAATGTGATTGCAGGAGCTGAAGCAATCATTTTTCAACCATGCGGGAAAGACCAAGATGTGGCTTCTGACATTTGTGTGAGCAGCTAGCCAAGTGATACTATGTATACATTCCTGTTTATATGAGAAAATAAATCTGTTTGCATAAGCCACTGCGAGTTAAGTTTTCTGTTACATTTCACCTGATGTAATCCTAATTCAGGATCTTAAATGCTTTTCTCTGAATACTCTCAGGATAAAGTGTGATTTCCTTAACCTGATGTTTATGAGTCCTCGTGACCTGACTCCACTCTGCTCATCCGGTCTTGCTTCCTGATATTCTCATGGCCACACCCTAGTCCAAGCCGCCTCCATCTCTTGCTCAGACCGTCTCAAACTTCCAAACCTATCTCGTTCCCACCATTCAGCTCTCCAACCCATTCTTCTCATCTCATCGTAGCCAGAGGACCTTTTAAAATAAATCAGATAGGTGTCTTTAACTCTGAAATCCTGGCCAGGCATGGTGGTGCACGACTGTAATCCCAGCACTCGGGAGGCTGAGGCAGGAGAATCCTTGTGAATTTGAGACCAGCCTGGGCTACAAAGTGAGCTCAAGGTCAGCCTGAACTGCATAGTGAGACCCTGTCTCAAAAACACAAAAAAAACCCACAAAAAATAAAACCAAAAAAACCAAAACAAAACAAAAACTAACTCTGAAATCCTTTTAGTGGCTTTTTATTACCCTTTAACTCAAATCTAAAGTTCTTAAACCAAAATCTTGCAAGGATTCAACCAAATCTTACAAGGATTTCAGAGCCAGTCAGCCACTCCTTAATCCCTGGCTGCACTTGAGAATCACTTAGAAATATAAAAACAAGGGCAACCCTTCATTCAGGACCCCTCTTGTTTCTCAGGAGCTGTTCCTATCCCCTACTCCTCATTCCTATTCTCCAATAAATTTTCCTAGTTAACCTAAAAAAAAAAAAAAATTATCAGTGGTTGAACTTCACCTTTTTTTTGTGGTACTGTGCAGAAAATGCACCCCAGCCAGTCTGCTAGTTGCCCAGGTGATAGTTCCTGTTGCAGTTCCGGTTGCTCCTGTCTCCTAGAAACGCTGCTCACTGTGATGCACAGCTGGACACTATGATGTGCATTGTAAGAACCAATCAAAGACCACCAAGTGCTCTACCTTTGTCCTCCCCTTTGCAGCCCTGGGAAACCCCTCTCTCCCTGAGCCTTCGAAGCCTGACATTTTTATAAGGATTGGTTCCTTGTCAGTGCCCGTCTGATGTTAAATAAATCTGTCTCCAAATCCTGGGTGTTGTTTCAGTGTTTCTGTTTGCCATTGCAATATTGGGGATCTGTTTTAGTCATTGCTGGGACACCTAGAATTTAAGAGAGGTTTACTTTGACCCACGTTTCTGTCCATAGTTGGCTGGCTTCAAGGCAGGGTGGCATGGTAGAGGGGCCTTGGGAGGAGGGAAGCTGTCATGGCATTTAAGAAGCAGAGGAAGAAAGGAGAGGCTAAGAGAGGACCTATATATCTCCAGAGCACACACCAGGGACCACCATTTCTGGTCAGACCTCACCTCCTGCCTTTTTTTTTTTGTCTTTTTGAGACAGGGTCTCGCTATGTAGTTCAGGCTGGCCTTGAGCTCACTTTGTAGTACAGGCTGGTCTCGAACTTGCAAGGAACCTCCTGCCTCAGCCTCCTGAGTGCTGGGATTACAGGGGTGCACCACCACGCCTGGCTTCCCCTGCCTTCTTCTCCATTCTTAAGCATTGTGATTTACTTGGTCTGGGAGGGGTTTAGGGCGCTGATATTTTAAACCAGGTGCCAGAGCACACTCTAAAAGACAGTCAGAGTTGAGGAAACTGATTTGCACCTGCCTGTGGCTTAGCTTTTCTTTCAGTCCTTTAAGCGTACCTACCTCTTTGATGTCTCACGACATTTGAAGATGCTGTTGCTTCTGCTTGGAAAGCATTTTCCTGTTCTTGTCATATATATCTGGTTTTTTTGCGCCTTCAGACTCAATTTAAATGTCTCCTGTTCACAGAGGCTTCTCCTAACCGTTCGGTCTAAAATGATCCCTCTTGGCATTCTCTGTTGTGATTTATTTATTTCTTGGTACTGTTGCCATTTTAAAATTCTGTGTTTGCTTGTCTTCTAAAAATCTTTGATTCTCATGCTAGGTGGTAGACTACACAAGGGACAGTTGATATACATTTATGTGTGTGTGTGTGTGTGTGAGAGAGAGAGACACCTCTTACAACTAGAAGTTAGCACATAATAGGTGTGGGAAGAATTGTGAAGAAATCTGAGATTTTTCCACTACTTGCAAGTTGAGGAGTTAGCATGTTACTATTTCATGGATGTTGGCAAAAGACGAAAGACTAGTAAGTCAGAGGCAGGTTTTATTACAGCAGCGGAGGTGGCCAGTGTGGAAGTATCTGCACTAGACCCTTAACTCCCAGCTCCCTCGGTGATGTGAAGAGGTCCAAGTGACTGAACTTGTAGTGGGCTGCATTACAGAAGGGGAACCCTGGGACTGGGGATTTAGCTCAGTGGCACAGCCCCTGCCCGGCAAGCAGGACGTCCTAAGTTTGATTCCCGGTACCAGAAAAAAACAAAACAAAACACACACAAAAAAAACAAAAACAGAAGGGGAACCCTGAGCTTAGGGAATGAGAATTATTCAGAATGGGCAGTCAGCCCATTTAACCTTTGTTCCAGATGGAGACATTTTTATTTTATTTTTATTTATTTATTTAATTATTTATTTCTGGTCCCAGGAATTGAACTCAGGACCTTGCGCTTGCCAGGCAGGCGCTTGTGCCACTGTGCTATATCCCTGGCTGACATTATAACATGGGACAGTATACAAACCTGCCCTTTGGTCCACAGAGAGATACTATCTCGATTTTTCATTACGTAAACAGCCTTGGGAGAAGAGCCCCGAACAAAGACAATGCCTGGACTTGTGAGGTGTGTGGAAATGGGAGAGGAGTGTGGTGATGCTTTTGCACCCCTGGGCTTTCTGCCTGGAGGTACTTTACATACTGGGCACAAGGAAGGGGGCACCAAACAGACTCAGGGTCCTCACTTAGAGTTTGGGTGCCGCTGGAATTTGTGGACAGAGTACGGGAGAGGAAGAAGGTGTGTAGAAAAGGAGTGCCAGCAATCTGCACTGGGTTCCTTTGAGTTCTGCCAGATACTAAGCGGTGCTTGTGTCGGGTAAGACTCCGCTAAGTCAGCAAGAACAGCTGCTGGAAAAACTACCAGGGAGCTGGGAGCAGAACGACTGCTAGAGTGCACATCGGTTCGCGACGTTCAAGTTCCAAGCTGCCAGAATGCAGGGTGGAGAGACAGTATTGTACACGTAGAGCATTCATTGGAAATCTTAGTAGTAGGATGTCTGAGTCTGTTCAGGCCTCTGTAACAAAATATCACAGGCTGAGTGGCTTATAAGCAATAGAAATTTATTTCTCAAGGCTCTCAAGGGTTTTGAGATCAGAGAGCTGCTATGGCTGGATTCTGGGTTGCATATTGCAGTCTCCTTGTATTCAGACAAAGGCTAGAGGGTTCTCCAGGGCCCATTACAGGCCACTGGGCCCATTCGTGAGGGCTCCAACCTCAAGACCCTCGTCACTTCCCAAATCCCCACCTTCTAATACAATCACATTGGGAGTTGGGATTTTTTTTTCTTTTTTCTTTTTGCAGTGCTGTGGTTGAGGCCAGATCCCCACCTGTGCTAGGCAGGCACTGTATGAATAAGTTCCAGCTTGGGAGTTAGGATTTCAATGTATGGATTTCTGTGGGGCAAACATTCAGTCCATAGCATGGGACAAAACTGGCCTTAGGATGCAGATATGCTAGACCAGTTTCTCAACCTTGCAACTGTTGATATTTGTACGTGTATAATTATTCATTGTAGAAGACTGTCCTGGGCATTATAGGATGTTTAGCACCATCCCTGGCCTCTGCTCACCAGATACAAGTAGCACCTGCCTGATTGTGACATCCAAAAGTGTCTCCAGACATTGCTGATGTCCCTGGGGTGGGATGGGGGGGCAATATCCCTTCTAATATAGGGTGACCTAGAGACCCACCCTAACAAAGCATGTAGACAGCATGGGAAGCTTTTAGTGTCTCTGTAAACAACTCACCTACCAACCTTTCCCCCATCTCAGGACTCTTGAAAAAGGACAACAAAATGCAGCTGCTCACCAAGGAGACTGAACATTCACACCGTCCAGTTGTACCCAATCAGCAATTGCTCAGCAAGCTAAGATGCAAAAAAGCACAACATGTACCGGGAGAATATCAATTACAAAGCCTCATCTCTAAATATCTATTTCTTGAATTAGGGTGCAATTACTTTCAAAAAACTATTATGTATTATCAGGTTAATAATATCCCTTAGCTACTGCGGGCTGATCAGGTCCCCAATCTCCTGAATGAGTATAGGGTGAAGGCTAAATAAAAGAGGCAAATGGAATGATTTCAGGGCTCCAGGAGGATCAAAGCCCTCTCATAGAATCTGAGATTCAGGCTAAGACCAAGACTTTCTCTGAGTGGCCTGTATTCATTTAGTTATCAGAAGAAGGGAGGGGAGTACTCAAGAAAGCCAGGAACTGCTCAAGGACTTCTCCAAGTAAGGTATTAAGTTAATCCATCCAAGAGTGAGATGGCTGAGGCTAAAGTCTTTATCTAGTTGAGTTTGGATCCAGGTATCCTTGGCTGTGATCTTATTTTATCCTTTGAGGCTTTCCAGCTTCATCCATCATTACAGGTCTCAGTAGGGATTAGTGACTCACAGAGGTTCACTTACTATGAGTCCACTGCCCATCTCCAGACAAGGAGCCTTGACCTTGGACAGATTCATAAGTAAACATGAAAAGCCAATTGGTTAATTTAAGTCCTGCTCAGGGCTGCTTCATAGTGGTCTGCATCAATGTATAGAGATGTTCAGGGGCTTAAGGGAAAATGTGCACATGATAAGAAGACAAGTATAGAAGCTAAAGAAGGCTCAAGAAATTATATGTTTTTTGAACTAAAGAACACAATAGCTAAAGTGAAAAATTAATGGCTCCACGTCAACAGCACATTGATTAGAAACTGCAGAAGCAATTATCTGTGAATAGACACAGGTAGCCATAGAAACTACCCTGACGAAAGCCCCCAAACTCAATGACCAACAAACACATAATTAGGGTTCCAGAAAGAAATAAGAGAGTGACTATTGTAGAAACACATTGGAAAAAAAAAAAAAGTCTGAAAAGGTGCAAATTTGATGGAAGCTATAAATTCAAATATCCAAGAAATCTCAAACTGTATAAAGAAAACCACCTTGTGACACATTAGATGAAATTGCTAAAATCTAATAATGGGAATTAAAAAAGAGTTACTAGTTATATCATTAATATGATGTTAGCATGAATTTATTTAACTAAAAGCTATCTACTACACCTGGTTAAGTGAAACAGCAGGTTACAAAATA